AAATTATAGCAACAGTACTAAATTTAAAAACCTTCTCCGGTCAAAACCTTACGTCCTCTACAAATTACAGCATGCTCAGTAAAAACATTAATTTGTATAAAATATCTTTTAAGACAACTTACTTTCAATATTCGTTCGCAGTAATCGAATTTTTAAAAGTTAAATATAAATTTTAATTGTTTTACAAAATATTAATAAAAGTATCAAATTTAAATCAAACGAAATTTTAAAAATTTTAGTTTACCTAAAATATGTTTTTCTCATGTTCGCAAATGAGAGGTAGCCCACCCACACACTCATACCCTGAGCTAGACCTCGGACAATTCACAGTTCAAAATTCAGATGAACTGCTCAAAAAACTCTCTGAACAATTCTTTTCAAAGGAACTGATCTATGTCAACAGTTCTTTTGATAGGAATTGCATTTCCCTAAAAGAATGCTGCTTTTATAAATAGAGCAGTATTATTCTGTTTTTGGGAAAGAAATTTTCAGAACAAAACAATGTTGTTCTACTTTTCGGAAAATTTTCCCAATAACAGAACAAAATTGTTCTATTTATGGGAACAAAACTTTTTTGAAGTACCCAAGTTTCGATCAAAAGAACTACTCAAACACATCAGTTCCTGTTAAAAGAACTGTTAAACAGTTCTCAAGATTGGAACTGATATGGAACTATCCCATGTCTATTCTGAGTCAGAGATAACCTCAAATAACAGGTGTTCATAGGTTTTCATTGGCAATTAATCGGTGTTCGTAGGTGTTAGTCGTGCTTTATAGGTGTTGTTAGGTCTTTTTTTTCCTTCAATTCTTGATATCATCCTCAAAGAGATATCCAAAGAAAGTGCTTGTGAGTGTTCGTGAACAAAACTTAGAATGCTCCGTGAACTGGTATCATCAGATCTATGATCCTTGTTTCATTGAGGTGTTCAGTAATGTTTGCTCGTTTTATTAATATCCACCGGTAAACGCTCTTAAACGATATAAAAACGGTGAAAAGCAGTGATCTTAGCGAGTAATCGTTCATGAATGATCGTATGCGATCTAAGAACGACGAAATATCATAATGTTTCATATTTGAGTTTTATTGGTCAAACGATGTCAGTCATTGTGAAGACACAACCTTAAGATGTAAAAGTTTTTTCTTTCTTTCTATGCAGAATGTGCATAAAAAGTCCAACATTTCTACGAAAAAAAAGTTAAAAAAATAATTACTAGAACAAAATATGTTGATTGTGGCAGCCCATTGGCAAAAAACATTTTAACAAAAAAATAGATAATTTTTGTTAGTTTCAAATGATCGATTGGAAACAAAAAACATGCAGACAAAGGAATATCAATCAAAGAGACCAACGCATTAGGAACTCTTCGGAATTCGTTTGACTTTTTTATTCGAGTGTGAAGATGTGACCTAATCTGCTGTTAACACTTTGATGTCTTCTCGTTTTCTACTACGAGAAGCAATAAATGAGTTCTTTAAAAGAGGGATCGATAAGAGAACAAAAAGCTTCCTCTGGTCGATAGAATTGCTTTCTTCTAACTCAAATTGTCACACAAGGTCTTAGAAAGTGACTTCCGGTCGAATTAGTCATATAGAACATCTTTCTGGTGTGCACAGATCGCTCAAAATATCCAATGTACACTAGTGATCAGGAGTACCGCTAGTAGATAAAAACTATTTAAATCTCAACCATTTGTGCTCGTATTTTTAGTGTAAATAGAACTCGGTGAACTCTGATCACATGTACCAACCCGATCTCGATTGATTAATGTTTACTGGAGTTATTAGATCAACAGTATCATCACCTTGTGAACATCATATTTCAACAATTTTTCAATTTTGAATTTCGTGCAACTTCTCATTCGGAAGTCCAACATCAAAACAATCTATGACGAAAATTTTGTAAAAACATTACTTTAAATTAATGAAGATATGATCTTCGCAATGAAAATGTTTGACAAGCGTTTAGTCCTAGTGTTGAGTCTGGTGTTAAAAACTCGAGTTAACTTTGGTCGATTCACTTGAAAATTTCAGTCATGACTTCTTATACACATGCTGACAGTTTTTTGAATAAAGCGGATGCAATTGAGTAAAGATGCTACATCAAGAATCTTTCACTTGGCGTTTTATAGTGTTATATTTTATTTACGTTTTTTCTGATGCTATATGCAGCTCTCTATGTCTAGTTTACTGAGTCAAAAGATCATGCCATAATATCGAGATCCCATTGATTGACAATCTGTGTTATAGTGAGTTCTTTTGATGATTCTATCTCGACTCCAGTTTGTGCTATGATTCTAGAGCTTTTTACATGAACTACTAACGGGTGTCCCGGTATTTTAACGATATCTTTTTCAATATTCGTTTGTTCAGACTTTATTATTTTTTTCGAAAGATTCGTCTTGAGATGCTCTACAAAATGGTGTATTTTTACTTTATGTAAACAACATCTATCATTTTCTAAGATATGCTTCAAACGAACAGCTCAAGGTGAACAATTTTCTAAAACAAATGATTGACGTTATTTAAACAAATAAAAACAAATTATTTTGTACAGCATGAAAAGACGAACAACCAAAATGTTGGTCTAGAAAATTGTTCATCTTGGGCTGCTCGTTTGAAGCATATCTTGGAAAATGATAGATGTTATGCACATGAAGGAAAAATACACCATTTGGTAGAATATCTCAAGACGAATCTTTTGAAAAAAAAAAGTCTGAGCAAACGAATATTGAAAGAGATATCGTTAAAATACTGAGACACCCATTATTTCTGGGACACCCGTTAGAACCATCAGAAGTCATGACTGAAATTTTCAAATAGATCGACCAAAGTTAACTCGAGTTTTTAACACCAGACTCAACACTAGGACTAAACGCTTGTCAAACATTTTCATTGTGAAGATCATATCTTCATTAGTTTAAATTAATGTTTTCACAAAATTTTCGTCATAGATTGTTTTGATGTTGGACTTCCAAATGAGAAGTTGCACGAAATTCAATATTGAAAAATTGTTGAAATATGATGTTCACAAGATGATGATACTGTTGAGCTAATAACTCCAGTAAACATTAATCAATCGAGATCAGGTTGGTACCTATGATCAGAGTTTACCGAGTTCTATTTACATTAACTAAAGGTATGAGTGCAAGTAGTTGAAATTTAAATAGCTTTCATTTGTTAGTGGTACTTTTGACTACTAGTGTATTCCATAACACAGAAAGAAAGTTGTTAGCGCTATCCCTGAAGGATTAAAATGTGAAACACAATGAATCTGCTTATATTGTAAATGAAGGGATTCAGTAACATATCTATCAGTTTTTGAAATATTATATACTGTTACAGTAGGCGCTGAAAGAGAACGAAAAACATGTATCGCAAGTTTCATCTTTTTTTAAAATAATTTCACAATAAACTTTAGTGTCGTGGTAATTTCTGTCACGATCTGTGACAGTTTCGATAGTAATGTCGGTTATGGTCCAAGGGGAGTAGACCTAAATTTCTACTCTTATACTTCAACACTCTTTTTAGATCGTGTTTCAAAAAAGTTTCAAGAAATCACACTATTCTTCGATTCAAATTTAGCCTAACCTTATGGCGGATTTGCCGTCAGGTTTTTCTGCTGAAAATCTTACATATTGGAAACGATTGCATCAACACATCGTGGATTTCTTTGCAAACTTGATTCCGATTGATGGATTTTCGTTTGAATTCTCCATTGTGACTGACCAGTTCCACTAAATCCTCTATTCTACTATCGGAATTTTTAAAGAAGGCAGGTGGAAGAAAGGCTTATAACTTTTGAATGGAAGGTCATAGCGACTTGCGGTTTTCAGCATTCAGTAGATAACAGTCAGGGGCGCATATCTATGTGTAAAAATGGTCTCTCGAAGTACTTTTTTAGACCAGTCTTAGTCGACGAACTTAAGGGCAAATTGGTAAATCTTTTTGAGGGAATTTTTTCCACTAGGTTTGTACCCCGGCATGCCCTCTTCACATTCGTATCTAAGCAATTTCGGGATTTCGCTCCCTTGAAATACTAGAGGTCGTTTAATTGTGCAACCACATGTAAGACACTTTTTGCTGAAAAGCGAAAAAATATTTAGAATATAGATTTTTTGACTATGCTAATCAACATGAAAAGACTTATTTTGGTATTATATTGTAATTTTGTGTTGAGCTCATGAGCGTAAGCACACAATAATGCTTATTTTCGAGTTTCTTTGAGAAAGAAAATCTGTTTCTCTTACAATTTGCTGAATCCTATTGTCTTTCTGTTTTTCATCGGTCTATTATGACAACAGAGCTTGCGTTGCCCACTCACAAAATAAACCGGATTATAAAATTTACGAATACAAAAATAATTGCTATTTCACATTTTCCTGATCATCATCAGAATCTGTTTCTTCACTGTCAGATTGTATATGAGGTTCGATTTCCTGTTCCATAATTGCATCTGCTGTTTTAAACATTTCTTCAACTCCACGAACATGATGAAAATATGACTTCCACGTTTGTCGTCCATCGCCACCATATGTTTTGGTCACGAACAAACTGTTTGAGATTATTCCATGACAGTTCAATTGAATTAAGGCTACAGTGTAGTTTAGGAAGACGAAAGATTTCTACAGCATATTTCTCTGCAATACGATCACTCTATTCAACAAAACAAAGAGAAAAAGGAGGGTTTTCAAAACTCAAAATAAGTCTTAAAAAACTGACTTACAACATGTTCTTTTGACGGACAATTTGCATACACCAGTTGTAACAATTGAGCTGTAACAAACTTTTCTGGAAAATTAATTTTTCGATCTTTAAGCCATTTTTGAATTTCTCCTTTTGTTGAAGCACATTTTGGAATGACTGATCCTTCCGTGAGTTTATTGTGTTAAGTTGTGTTATCCAGGCAAATAGCAATTCTTCCTTTTTCACCTATGAAGAAAGTGTAAGAAATCAATCATGGAAAATTCGACTCAGAATACATCAACTCACCAATCTCCTCTCATAATGTTACACAAGTTGAATCTAACCACGAGAGAAAATGTGTTGAATCCATATGATGCTCTTCAGTGCACACCCAAATATCAACTGATGGAAAATGATAACCCTTGATATTTATAAGACCTAATACTGCCAAACGAGATCCTATAAACGAGAGAAATAATGATATGTGAGAAGATGATTTATGAATGATGTCGCGGCTTACCTTTTTCTCCGCCTTTTTTTATTTCTCCTTTGTCCTCTAGAGTCCAAATTGACCTTTTAACCTCTCGAAGATTCAACCACGTTTCATCATGATAATACAAATGAACGTGTGCTTCTCTTAGTTCTTCAAGAGTCTAAAAATACTTTGCTCTTGCTGTCATAAAAGCCTGTGAATCTAACGCAACTTTTATCGTTGACGTTCGTTAATAAATGAAATCAAGCTAAGAACTTAAAAAAAGCGGTATGATGTTTTTTCTTTCTTCTTGTCTATGTTACACCAAACATTTCACTTACATTTCTCATTTTTTTGCGTAACGTACTTGTCGACCGAATAGGAAAATCTCCATATTGTTCCTTCAATCTTCTCAATAATTTGTCAGAGGTTGGATACACTTTTTCTTGAATTAATTTATGGAATTCAAGCCTAATTAAATCTTTTCCTTGCTCTGATAAAATGATGTTTCAGTGTCCACAATGCACTAAAAAAAAGAACTGACTTTCTTCCTGTTTAAATGAAAGAATAAATCTCTTACTCTTCGTCTGAGGAGGTAATGCCTGAGGAATAAGAAGATCGATCTGACATGTTGATGAAGAAGTAGAAGAGACAGTACGCGGACGACAAAGAATTTTAGCTGGTGGAATAGACGTTGAAGATTCACGATGTTTGGGTGTCACTAATGATATGGTGCGACTACGAAGGTTTCTAACATTTGTATCTGCTTCGCCTTTCTCTTTTGTCTGTTGCTGTTGCTGTTGTGGCTGTTCCATTATTGCTTTCTGTCTTAAGTGCTGTAATTCATGCTTTAATCTGTGGGCAGATCTTTCAGAAGTATTTAACATTTTAACAAGATGATCGTTCACATTGTAGAGAGGAATAACTGGATCATTTTTCTCGCTTTCAACTAAATTAATAATGTGAAACATTAATTGTTTTACTTCTTGCGAAAATTCATGTCCTTTCGGCATTACGAATAAAGAAGTTGTCTAAAACAGATATTGTATATATTTCGAAAAAAACGAAAGACAAATAACCAAGAGAATTATTAGGTATATATGTGTATATATATCTTTTCTTCCTTTCTTTTTTTTCATCCTGGCGTTACACGCTGGCATACTCATGCACAGAGAGAGATCAAACATTTTAAGCCCTCGATTTTAAAGAAAATAAACCCTTTGATGTTGACTAGCATAGTCAAAAAATCTATATTCTAAATATTTTTTCGCTTTTCAGCAAAAAGTGTCTTACATGTAGTTGCTCAATTAAACGACCTCTAGTATTTTAAGGGAGCAAAATCCCGAAATTACTTAAATACGAATGTGGAGAGGGCATGCCGGGGTGCAAATCTAGTGGGAAAAATTCCCTCAAAAAGATTCGTCAATTTGTCCTTAAGTTCGCCGACTAAGACTGGCTTGAAAAAGTACTTTGGAAGACCATTTTCACACATTGATATGTGCCCCCAACTGTCATCTACTGAGCGCTGAAAACCGCAAGTCGCTATGACGTTCCATTCAAAAGTTATAAGCCTTTCTTCCACCTGCCTTCTTTAAAAATTCCGATAGTAGTTGATCGGCTTCTGAATTTTCTCCTAATATTGATCTGTAATTTTTCATCGTCACTTACGATTAAGAGTGAAGACAAACCGACCAATCAGGTTTTATCCATTCACTAGGCCTTATCGTCTAAATGTACTCTCAAGCTATAAACAAATGAGCATTTCAAGAAGTTGACTCATCAGTTTAGTAAAGTTTGCAGCTTTTTTCTACTACTGATATCAGTGTAAAAGAGTTTCCCACTTTTCTAGACGTTCTTTCTGTATGATTCCAACTTTTTGTCTACGTCAGACACATATTTAAATGATACCTTACCAACAAATCCAGTAAGTTAAACCTGTATAATATTTTTACTCGAAAGTTAATAAATATATTTTTTCTTTCTAGAAAGCACAAACTCAACCCAGCATTATTTTATTAATCAAGCAAACGCCGAGGACATTGTTCTAACCTATTTTAAATTATAGTTTATTTCTTAGTTTTAGTTAGTCTTCTTTTCTTCATTCATTCTATTTATTTAATATTTTCATTTTTTCTCACTTTTTTTTTCATTTTTTTGTAGTATTTATTAATCTCCAATAAAATTTAATAATCAACCACTCTTTTTTTTTAATAATCTAAAACGCACATGGCGCAAGAGAGAGAAAGAAGAATAATCAAAAAAACAACGAAAGAAACAAAAACAAGAATAAAAAAATGCAGACTAAATATTATATAAAGATTGTATTAAACTTACTGGCCGTTAGGCCTTCAAGAATTCTTTTATTTTATGGGAAAGTTTTAGAAGAGCTGCTTCTACATAAGAGGAATGAGACATCGTCTTTTTGAATTGTGATGAGTAGATATTTTTTTTTTGCTATTGTTCTCATTATTTCTCTATAAATAACATACTTGAGATAGAGAATATGAAATGTAGCACAATTTTTATTTATACAGTAGCGAGCTGTTGGATTCATGTGAAACAGATATAACTCTTGTTGATCATAATACGCCGTTGAAAAGGAGACGGAGAGAGAGTAGATTATTTCGGTAAGCTCGATTACTCATCGAATGGCTTGTGTCTGAGCTTAGACAAATAGCTATAATTAGTATTAATGATCAGTGCTGGATAGAGAAAAAGAGTGAGAGAACAGTCCTAAATGTAATGTTGGGAAACAATCTGATGTGTGATGTTTAGAACGCATCAGCCATCAATATAAAAAAGCAAGACATGAATAGTAAGAATAAAAATAAAGGACGGAAAATTAATATATCGAAAATCAATCGATGCTATACACATCAGGTTTTATTTAATTCCATCACAATTCAAGATAATTGACTGAGAAAGAAAAGGCAGAAAGAGAATGAAGATGACTAGGCAAAGGATAAAAGAGGCTTGAATATTTCAAATAAAGACAAAAGTCATTATAATGCACAAATTTTCATCTTCTACAATGATCGAACAATGTTTTGGCCCAGTCGAACCTTACATTTTGTAGTAGATGAAGTAAAAAAGTCGTCATCTTTTTTTTTTACAAATTCATAGCAATGATGATATGGTTGACTAAAATTCAGGTTTAGAGATCAGTTGGGAAACATTGAAAACAAACTCTATATTGTTTTTCTTGCGAATAATAGTCATAGTAGAAGAAAATTTGCTTAGATGATTCTAATGATCAGATTGATTAGCTTTGTTCTTTTATTTATTTAATTCTCATATCACAGCAAATCAAATGAATCGGCTTATCTCCTTTTTTTATTTATCAAATAGACACATTTAGATAAAAACAAATAAATTCCACTTTTATTTCGGTTTTTCGAAGACATTTATAATTTATTTGCTCTATTACAACATATGAAGTTGATTGTGTCTATGTAAAAGTTATGATTTTAATCAAACTTTGAAGAGCATAGCGATGTTTTAGTATTACTCTTTTTGTTGAAAAAAACTTCTGTACCGTAGAAAATGAAGCCGTTATTATCGATGAAAAACAAAACATGTACATATCGATTTATTCTCTATACACACATGTAGGTAAAACGAGAAGGAAAAGAAAAAGAAATGAAACAAAAAAAAGAGAAATCAAAATCAAATTAAATAGAGCTTAAAAAAATGAATATTACAACACGAGAAGATGATATAACAAGAAAAGCTAATCTAACCTAATAGAACAAGACACATACACACATGTGATATCAATAAAAGAAATTTAGTATTGATATCTTTGATATAGTGTGTATTACACTTGGTGATGATGTTTATTTTATGCTGAACGAACAAAGTTACCGATCGGCTTGTGCATGTACATTTTCTTTTTCTGTTTCTTTTTTGTCTTGCTGTTCTTCTTCATGATGTTAAAAGGGAACAATAGAGAGCCCATTATAATGATAGGTAGCAAGTATATGATAAAAGAGAATAACACGTGACTCACACATGTGCAACTTTTGTCCAATATTAATGAGAGAGAAAAAGACAAAGTAATGGCTCACCTCTCTCTTCATATGCATACACACATATTAAGGAGATCTCAGAAGTTCTGAAATCATTTTAAAACTTATCATTTTTATATAGAACAAGAGCATACTTTTCGAAACTTTGATAGATTATTCTATCTACTTAGTACTAAAATAACTATGAAGTTGAATACGAGTCCCCTCTATTGTGACAAAGAAATTATAACAATATTATCATGATTTATTTTATCGTTTATTATATAGCTATATCATGGTGAAAATGTATTACAATAAATCACTCAATGGAATAAATAAAAAAAATTAAATTAAATATGAAAGGATGTAAAATAAAATAAATGTATGATATTTCGATGTTTTTTCCTTGTAGCATCATCAGATATGTATTGAACAATTAACTATAATGATGATAAATAATTTAACTAGTTCTTCATTCATATAAAATGAATGAAGGTAAAACAAAAAAAAAAAGCCATTTTTCTTTTTTGTCATTCATATCTAAGTTTATATTTAAAGAAACAGAAGCAATAATAACAAGTAAAGAGATTAAAGAAAAAAAGCAAAAATGACGAAAGAAATATGTCGAATCATAGACATAGCTAAAAGAGAACATAAAAAGAAAAAAGAGAAATGTATGAATTATAGAGATTACACAGAAAAATAATTATACTTATTATGAGACAGTATGTATATTATTTTGTTCATTTTATTATTGACAAAAAATCGATCACGTTTTAATGTTATTTATTTGTTAAAATACATACAAGGTTGTCATAGTTGCATCTAAATGGAAAGAGAAAAAATGAATGAAATTATTCAAAAAAATGACTTCTAGCTAGTTAGATACGAACTGTTCATCAGCATCAATATGAGGTTTACATGTTAATTCATCAACTTAGTCTTCTTCTTCTTCTGTTAGCTATTCATTCAATGAAATTATAGGATGCTTCAATTCAGTGACACTAACACAAATAATACCATATTTATCAAATACATAACATCTTTCATGTATATCATCTTCTATTTTTTTATTATTTGCTTTTAAAATTTTGTGCTACTTTAAAAAATGTATCAAAATCACTTCTATGACTAATTTTTTGTTGAATTTCTTGTAAATCAGCTTCTAATGATGATAAAACATGTGAACGAGGAATCATACTTAAAATTGATAAAACCTATTTCCATTTTTTTTATCAAAATAAAACAAATATTTTCATATCGAGTTCTTACGCTGCAATCATATATACCTTATGATCTTTATTAAAAGGTGAAAATGCTTCATGATGTAAACGCATTTTATTGAAACCATTGGATCTTCTTTGAGTTTTTGTTTTAACCAAATCAAAATAAACATGACATAATTCTAAATGTTGAATAAAGAAAAAGAAAAAAATGGATTATTTTTCCATTATTGATTTCGATGAATAATCTAAATATTGTAATGTCTATAATAATATGATTTATTTCTTTTTTTGTCTTTTACTTGTATGACTATGTCAGTCTTCGAGTTCAATAATCGATGCTTGTATATTAGCTGAATGTTTCTTAAAATTATCAAGTTTAAATAATATCTTCATAATTTAATTGAATTTTTTCTATATAATATACAAAAATTGGAAATATGATACACATGCAATTATTCCAATAGATTTTTTTAAATAACTAAAAGAAATTATTTCTCAATCAAGTTTTTTATTTAATTCCATAAGTTTAATTTTATCATTAACAATAAGTAATTCAACAGCAGATACTAGAAGAAAAAAAGAAAATAATGATATGTTATTTTTAGAAATCCACAAACCATTATCTTCGTTCGATATTGTTTTTCAATTGAATTTCAGTTTTAGTTCGAATTGCATCAAGTTGCGTTCTAGCCTAATAATAAATAATGTTTTTTCCCACTTAAACAATCAACGAAAAACGAAAAATCATACATAAGCATGTAATAATTCGTTTGAACATCCATTGTTAAGTTAGCACATAATTCAGTTATTTTAGCACTAAAGAAAAGAATCAAATTACTGTATGTTAAATAAAAGAATTCGATTTTTGCATATTTCAATGATTATTATATTATGCTATATTTGTTTTGTTAATTATACTCTTTTGTTCTTTACATTTGTCAACAATTTGAGAATGTAAACTAAAAGATTTATCTAAATTGGTTTTTTTTGCAATAAATAAAATATACTCCTAACATGTTATATAAAATTTAAGTAAAAGGAATTTTCGTCTTTTTTTTTGAAAATCCAAACCATACAATTGAGACATTGCCATCCACTCACTCATATTACGATCGGGAATCGATAGTTTGATTATTAGAAGAATAATAATTTTAAAAAAGATATTATATATAAGAAACAGATAAGTGAAAGAAGAAAAACGAATAAAACAATCTCACTATAGCATTCGTTTCAATTGGTACATGTAATTTTTTATAATCAGATCATTTTGAACTGAAAAGAAAAGAAAAGAAAGAAAATTAATCAAAGAAGAAAAACAAAAAATTGTACGTTGTTCTAGAGATGTATGATAATGTAATTTTCGATCGAATATCTGTAATTATTTCATTAAATAAAAATTATTTTAAAATAGAGTCAAGATAAAAAGTTTGACCTTGTTCATAATTGAATAGTCTATGATCACATTTTCATGAGTCATCAAATCAATGTCCAATGAAAGATCCAGTGATGCGCTTAAGATGAAACTCATTTTGAAATGCTCATATGTGCAGTATATGAAGTATATATTATTGATAGAAACTATTTATGATGTTAAATTCTTCTGATCAAATATAATCGTGAAACCGAACTAAAACCATAGAGTTGATGTAACGACATCTTTCTTTGTATTTGTTTTCAAGCAAAGTTGGTTTTACTGTTATGAAATTGCGATTGTTGTGTAGCGCCATTATTTACGTGAAACTCGTCTTTTGCAAACATAAGATATGTAGATGGTGAATATGCCTTCTGTTTTCATAGATTTTTGTCACAATTTTTGTTCTGACTGTTCCATCCGAATTAGGTTTCGACTTTTGTAGTGCATTCGACATTGATTAGCATTTCTTCCATTACTCTATATCATTAGATCGCGTACTACAACAGAACAGGACATTGTAGATGCAGACTTTGGTTAATTATGGATATGTTCAAATAAAAAGACGAGAAATTGTAATTAACAGATTACAAAAAGTCTTTGTAAAGTTCACGTTTCTAGTATATGGTAATCGCGAAGATTATTTTCTTACATATTTTATTTTCAAAATACAATAAACAGAGGACTAGTGGAAGTGATGAGCAATTAAAAACAATGCTCAGAACACAATGTTTTCTGACAGCAACTGCAATAGATAAATTCACTCTCATCGCAACTAGTATTCGAGCAACTATCAGCTTTGAAAGAGAAGCAGATGTTTATTAGGTTTGAGAATTTCGAATATTACTATTGAATATAATCACAATTCGACTAATTAAGCAAATGAACTTATTGGTTGGAAAACAGTAGAACTGAGTTGATGATGAACTATAAAATAAAAGGCTCCATTACATGATCGGACAGGCGAAGCATTTGAATTTTGTATATTTAACTTCAATATTCAATATCAACAAAAATAAAAACATTCCTTCCGACGAAAAAACAAAACTTTTAGGACATTCTAATGACTCGGAGATCTATCTATGGAAAAATTCAAGAGGGAAAAACAACAGATTTTAGTATTCAAAATCTCTAAAATCTTTCAAAATCTTTTGAGTGGAGGATTTGAAATAAGTGACGAAGCTAGTAAATTCGATGATGGAATTTCTCCTGGATTTGTTGGATTTGATGGCAATGGCGCAAATAATGAAAATGAAAACTTTTCATGATGAGCAGCAAATAAACTAGTATCAGATGTAGGTATATGTGAAAATTGACGAATCATTGCCGTTGTTGATGAACATTTATGACTTGTTGAAATTTTTGATAATATGGGTCGAACAAGAATAGATACGGCAAGAGTAGTCGATGAAAATTGATGTGGTTGTTGTTAAAATATATGCTGGTATTGTTGTAGCTGTTGTTAGTATTTTCATTACTGATGTCGAACGACGATATGAATCAAATAGATTTAATGTTTCATTTTTTGTTGTCATAACAGTCGTTGATGATGTTAGACAAGGTGTTTTCATACAGTACTTTGCAAAAACAATTCATCACTTTTTCTTCTCATGTTTTTCTGCTATAAGATTATGTTCGATAGCCATTAATAGTTTTAGATAATAGTATATATAGTTGTCTGTTGGGAACGTATGATAGAGATCTGAAATGTCGTTCTATTAAATTAATTAATGGCTTCACTGTTGATGATATGAAAAATGAGTGTACCAAAACTCATTATAATATGAAGAGCTGACAAGGTGTTTGGAAGTCGAAATCAATCATCAATTATTAAACGGTGACAACTGAAGCTTTTCGATAATGATCTTAAAGATATGTCATCTCTTAGGCAAAGAAAGGAAGACATATATGAACATGATAAAGGAAAAATTATACATTGGACATAGCAACAGCATCAGCGAAACGATTACTGACAACGAAGATTTCAATATTTTCTAAAATACTCAAAACGGTTTTTTTATTCAGATAAAACAAGTATGCCAGACGTTCTAATACCAAAACATTGGGCATTCTATACTCTTTCCGATGTTTACATTTTATAAATTTCGTCGACGCTTTTACGTTAATCTATGTTGTAAATTTCGATTGATTGTGTCGCTGATCTTGTTATTTTTCTCCGACGTATAATTTTTCCTTTATCATGTTCATATATGTTTTCCTTTCTTTGCCTAAGAGATAACATATCTTTAAGATCATTATCGAAAACCTTCAGTTGTTACCGTTTAATAATTGATGATTGATTTCGACTTCCAAACACCTTGTCAGCTCTTCATATTATAATGAGTTTTGGTACACTCATTTTTCACATCATCAACAGTGAAGCCATTAATTAATTTAATAAAATGACGTTTCAGATCTCTATCATACGTTCCTAACAGACAACTAAATATACTATTACCTAAAACTATTAACGGCTATCGAATGTAATCTTATAGCAAAAAAACATGAGAAGAAAAAGTGATGAATTATTTTTGTAAAATATTGTAAATAGATGTTTAATGTAATTTCTTAACAAAGTTGATCACCGAACATTATTCAACACATCATCAAAATTTTGTTTGCTTTTAATTTAGATATTAAAAAGACGATATCAATTTTTTATATAAAATCCTATCAAGAACTTTTCCATCTATTGAAGGACAAACACCAGATGAGAATATGAAAAGCTGACTGACGAAGTATTGTTGTTCCAAACCTTCGTTCTTCACGTATGGAAATTTTATTGGATATTTCAGCATAAAAACATGTAGTTTCCATCAGATCATCTGGAAAATAGAATTTCAACTTCAAACTTTGAGCAAACAAAGTTCTCAACAAGATTAGTTAATACAAGAAATTTCGAATATTCAATATCTCAGGATGGAAAAACCTAGAAAACTTACAACTGCTCCAAAGAATTAATCCCATGTTCATGCAAAATTTCAAGTCGAAAGTCAATTTTTCATGTGACCTGAATAGGACTACAAGTCTCTGTTGAAAAATAATGAAGGTCTAAAAAACAAAACTATTCTAAATTTTTCTATTATACATCAAATGAACATCGTCTCAGTCGAAAAGCATATTGTTATTTCAAGTTGAATTTTTGTTCTCTCTATTTTGAGTGATGTGATCTATTTTCCAAAAGAATTTAACAATATTTTTTCAATTCGGACTTCATTCATCTCTTTGTTTTTTAGAATTCGTTCATGAAAACTATTCATCATTTTGATTCTGTGCTATTTATGCAATCCATTCAAAAACGTAAGTTAGTTGAATTATCTTTCGAACTGCAATCATGAAAATAGGTTCGCTTTTACGGCTGATAAAAAAAACAGTACGTTTTTTTGCTCAAAACAGAAAACTTCATATGTTATTATCCTTTTTTGTTTCGTTTCGATGATTAATTCACTTGTCAAAATAATCTTCTAGAATACTGTTTTGGTTCGCAGTACATACGTTATCTTTTTTTCCTATGTGTATTGATCAGATGCAATCCAAAATAAGAACTGGTAATAGAAAGAAGAAAATATGTAGTTTTATGACAAATGAATGACTCATCTTTTCTATTGCATCATATTATTTTGAAATCATCGTACAAAATGACATAGAAATAAAACACATTTTTCTACACAACCTTTCTTCAGATAATGACACCCATAGAAGAAATTGATTTTAATGGATCGTCAGAAGAAGCTGAGAAAGCTTCGGATTATTGATCAAAGATACTATAGACGCTCAATAAGTCAAAATCGGATGAAAATATGTAAGAAATGTTTCATCTATTGTTGAAATATAAAATATCTGTGCAGCTGAAACAATTCTCTATAAGCAATAGCAGGTTCAAAGACTTCAATAGAATTGCTCGGATCAAAATTTTTGAAAAAAGTTTTATTAGATAGAGCAAAGTAAGACGTCACCGAACTTTTCATGTGCTTCCTTCATCGACTTGTTTTCGATTAACGAGAATCCAAAAGGCAGTTCAATGAAGGAGGGTCATGGAGAGGTCGAAAATTTGGGGGTGGGTGTGGGTGCGGGTCTTTAATGTTACACACGTCCACTCCCAACCCCACCCACATCACGCCCATACCCACACCTACACCCGATATGAAAATCTTTGCTCCATTTTAATTGGTTGTGGTAAAATGAACGCCATCGAATGATGAATGTTGAACAGTGGCATTGGTCAGTGTAGGTTTTTGGAAAGAGGCTGATGCAAACTGATTAGAATCCCGATAAAACCTACATTTAACAATACGTATACAAGACAAGTTTGCTCCAATAAAAAAACGCTCCATGTCAAGAAAGACGTTCGAATGTTTGATCGACAAGTGATGTTTCTGTGAAATTAATAATTTGTTTTTGTATTCGTCATAGAGTATATCTTCATTGGCATCCACTCGGTAGAAATAAACATTGTTCAGATGAGCATGGCTCATTGTGGCATCTCGAAATACATAATTCATACAGGTCATGTCATGTATTTGAGCACTTTCGAAATTAACCGACCCAAAGAAAATGTCACGTGCACATGTTTCATGAAAATTTGTGCAGATTAATAATGAATCTACAAATGTAAATTCAACTTCATCTCCATCAAGGAATGCACATCTAAAATCAACATCAT